GGCATAACAGTTAGGTATAGAAATCTAACTAGCCCTACAGGAAGTAGGAGGGAAAAGCGGAAACAAAAGGAAGGGGAGATAAAAGGGAGGGAATAAGTAGTAAGAAGTAGAAGTAAGTAGTAGAATAAGTAGGAAGAAAAGGGAAGGGACTAATAGAAGGGAGGTGGGAGTGAGGGAGGCGGTGGCCAAAAACAAAACACTAGTGAGGAGGGAAAAGGAGAAAGGAGAAAGAAAAGCATAAAGGGGGGGGGAAGGATGGAGAGAAAGACACAGATAGTAATCATAACTGTGAATGTGAATGGGATGAACTCTCCCATAAAACAGAAGCAGATAGCAGAGTAGATTAAAAACCATAATCCTACAATACGCTGTTTACAGGAACCCCATTTGAGGAAGAGCGACACACACAGGGTAAAGGTAAAAGACTGGAGCAGAATATATTATGCTTCAGCTGAAGTAAAAAAAGCAGGGGTAGCAATCCTGATCTCAGACAAAGCAAAAGCAAAAATAAATCTAATTAAAAGAGATAAAGAAGGAAACTACATCTTGCTAAAAAGTACCATAGACAATGAAGTAATATCATTACTAAACATACATGCACCATATGGTATAGCACCCAAATTCTTAGAGGAGAAATTCAGGGAGTTACAGGAAGAAATAGACAGTGAAACTATACTAGTGGGGGACCTCAACCTCCCCTTCTCTGAACTAGATAAATCTAACCACAAAATCAACAAGAAAGAAGTTAAGGAGGTGAACAGAATATTAGAAAAGTTAGGTATGATAGACCTCTGGAGAAAATTGAAGGGGGATAGAAAGGAATATACTTTTTTCTCGGCGGTACATGGCATATACACAAAAATTGACCATGTACCAGGGCATAAAAACCTCACAATCCAATGCAGAGAGGCAGAAATATTAAATGCATCCTTTTCAGATCATGATGCAATAAAAATTACATGTAATAAAGGGCCATGGAAAGAGAGACTAAAATATAATTGGAAACTAAGTAATCTAATCCTAAAAAATGATTAGGTCAAACAACAAATCATAGAAACAATCAACAACTTCATTCAAGAGAATGACAATAATGAGACAACATACCAAAACTTATGGGATGCAGCGAAAACAGTTCTTAGGGGAAATTTTATATCTCTAAATGCTTACATGAATAAAATAGAAAAAGAGGAGATCAATGAATTGGGCATACAACTAAAAAAAAATTAGAAAAACAACAAATTAAAAATCCTCAATTAAACGCCAAATTAGAAATACTGAAAACCAAAGGAAAAATTAATAAAATTGAAATTAAGAAAACTATTGAGCTAATAAATAAAACTAAGAGCTGGTTTTATGAAAAAACCAATAAAATAGATAAACCTTTGGTTAATTTAATTAAAAAAAAAAAAGAAAACCAAATTACCAGTATCAAAAATGAAAAGGGTGAAGCCACCACCAAGGAAGAGGAAATTAAAATGATAATTAGGAACTATTTTGCCCAACTGTATGCCAACAAATCTGACAATCTTAGTGAAATGGATGAATATTTACAAAAATATAAATTGCCCAGATTAACAGAAGAGGAGGTAAAATACTTAAATAACCCCATCTCAGAAAAAGAAATTGAACAAGCCATTGATGAACTCCTTAGGAAAAAGTCTCCAAGGCCAGATGGATTTACAAGTGAATTCTATCAAACATTTAAAGAGTAATTAATTCCAATACTATATAGACTATTTGGGAAAATAAGTGAAGAAGGAGTTTTATCAAATTCTTTTAATGATACAAATATAGTGTTGATACTTAAACCAGGAAGAGTCATAACAGAGAAAGAAAATTATAGACCAATTTCCCTAATGAATATAGATGCAAAAATTTTAAATAAAATATTAGCAAATAGTAATACACTATGACCAAGTAGAATTTATACCTGGAAGGTAGAAGGAAGGTAGACTTTTAAGGAAGACTCCATTTATTCCTATACTCTCTAGTGTTTTTAATAGGAATGGGTGTTATATTTTATCAAAAGCTTTTTCTGCATCTATTGGGATGATCATGTGGTTTCTACTAGTTTTGGTGTTGATATGATCAATTATACTGATAGTTTTCCTAGTATTGAACCAGCCCTGCATTCCTGGTATAAATCCTACCTGGTCATAGTGTATTATTATTGTGATAAGTTGCTGTAATCTATTTGCTAATATTTTATTTAAAATTTTTGCATCTATATTAAACTGAAAAGTTTTTGCACAAATAAAGTCAATGCAACTAAGATTAGAAGGAAGGTAGAATTTTTATAACCAGTTTCTCTGATAAGGGCCTCATTTTCCTAGTATTGAACCAGCCCTGCATTCCTGGAGTTGTGAAATGATCCAACCATTCTGGAGAGCAATTTGGAATTATGCCCAAAGGGCTATAAAAATGTGCATTCCCTTTGACCCAGCAATAGCACTTCTAGGGCAATATCCCAGAGAGATCATACAAATGGGAAAAGGACCTACATGTACAAAAATATTTATAGCAGCTCTTTTTGTGGTGGCAAAGAATTGGAAATTGAGAGGATGCCCATCAATTGGGGAATGGCTGAGAAAGTTGTGGTATATGAATGGAATGGAATACTATTCTGCTATAAGAAATGATAAACAGGCTGACTTCAGAAAAACCTGGAAAGACTTGTATGGACTGATTCTGAGTGAAGTGAGCAGAACCAGGAGAATGTTGTACACAGTAATAGCCACACTGTGAAATGACTAATATTGATAAACTTAACCCTTCTCAGCAATACAAGGATCTAAGACATTCTCCAAAGGCCTCATGATGGAAAATGCTATCCACAAAGAAGAAAGAACTATGGAGTTTGAATGCAGATCGAAGCATCCTATTTGCTACTTTTTCTTCTGTTGTGTTTTGTTTCCTCTTTCTGGTGGTTCCTCTTATTGGTTCTAATTCTTACTTACAACACCACTAATGTGAAAACATGTTTAAAAGGAATGTATATATATAGCCTATATCAGATTGTATGCCATCTTTGGGAAGGAGGTGGGGAGGGAGAGGAAGAAAAATTTTAAACTCAAAAGCTTGTGGAAGTGATTGCTGATAATTCAAAATAAATTAAGTTAAAAAAAAAAAGAAAATGTTTAGCATTCATTTTTACAAGATTTTGAGTTTCAAATTTTTCTCCTTCCCTCTCTTACCTAGGCAGTTTGATATAGTTTATGCATGTGCTACCATGTAAAAAATATTTCCATATTAGTCACAGTTGTGAAAGAAGAAACAGAGCAAAATAGAAAAAAACCATAAAAAAGTAAGTGAAAAAAGTATGCTTCAAACTGCATTCAGAGTCCATCAGTTCTGGATATGGATAGCATTTTCCTTCATGAGACCTCTGTACTTGTCTTGGATCACTGTGTTGCTGAGAAAAGCCGATTTATTCATAGTCGATCATCATGCAATGTTTCTGATAGTGTGTATAATGTTTTCCTGGTTCTGCTCATTTCACCTTGCATCAGTTTGTACAAGTCTTCCCAGGTTTTTCTGAAATCTTCCTGTTCATCATTTCTTAATGCACAAAAGCATTAAGCTTTTAATTTAAGCATTACATTCATATACCACAGCTTGTTTAGCCATTCCCCAATTGATGGGCATCCCCTATTTCCGATATTTTGTCACCACAAAACTCCTTTTCACTATTAATGTATACTGATAAGAAATTCAGTTTGAACTTTAAAGTTACTTCTCCTACACTAGCAATATTTAAGGGATCAGATAGAAATAGTTCTATCCTGGTAAGGATAGAACTTTATCTTCTCTGTGTAAGAAGAGCAGAGAGTGGACACTCCATGGCCCCAACCTTCTGCTTCCTCTCCTAAAAGGAATTAAAGTCTCTTTGAAAAAGGTGGTGGAGAAGATGGTAGAAAGGTCTATTCTTGCCTCCCTGTGAGCAACACATGACACCCCTTGCTAAAGATTAAAGGGTTAGCTCTTTGCACTAATAATTCAGTGGAGTGAATATATACAGACAGATGATTCAGGAATGACTTCAAAATCAATGATTAGCTATTTCTCATCTATTAAAATATAATCAACCAATTTCTTTCTTTTTTTGTGTGATGTTAGTGGCCTCCATTTAAGGCCTAAAAAAACTTTTCTCAAAGACTTCATGATGCATAGATGTGCGGCTTCGGGTTTGTGTATAAGCAATTGGCTTCTCTCATCTCCTATTGCTAAATATATTTACCTATGTTTTCCCACAGTTATACCCTATACCCACTTAAATCAACAAGTAACAAAAGACATGTTGATATAATTTGGGAGGTCCTACTGAGTTGCTGAATTTTGCTACATTCTCTATCTTCTGCAACAGAAACTGGCATATTCTGCAATAACTGGAAAATAAGTTGCAGTTATTTTTAAGATAATATTTTGCAAATGCCTATTACTGCAGTCTGGCTTAAGACTTCATCACTCAACTGAAACTGCTCTTTTTAGACCTTCTAAAAACTATGTGATTTGTAGCAACCTCTTCTCCTTATTGAAGAAGTAAAAAGGAGCCCTCACAGTCCTGAGAGCAATTTTGTGTTCTTCTTATTTCATAAGTTTATCAAGAGTCTTTTTAAATGTGACATCTTGGATTTAATATAATACTGAAGAAAGGAATTAAGTGCAACATAATTTCAAAATCAAAGATATTTCTCCCACAATATATTCCAGTACTATTACATTTTTATAGGTTTCTGTTTTATCTCTGCCAATCAAACCACACACTCGTCAAGGGCTTTCCATGTCTTCCAATATTTTTTCATTTCCTCCTAGAATCCATTAAATAAAATGAACACTCATGCTTGTTACATAAATGTACTTTTTAAAGGCAAATCCATATCTACCCAGATTAATCCTAAGTCACATAGAATTTCATCTAGATATATGTGAATTTAACATATTACAAAGGGAAACAATTCAAACATCTTACTCTCTCTAAGATATTAAGTAAAATGCCCTACCTGGAATGGACCTTGAAGGATTTATGGTAGTTGTGAGATAGTTTCCTTCCTTTACAATGCCCTTTCTCCTAACTTGTCTTAATTTCTTTAGCTGCATTTGAATTTTGGAGGAATTAGCTTCAATAACCCTTATCCTAAAGAAAAAAAGAAAGAAAAAAGAAAGGATTTCTTTCATTTCCTTCAAATGACTCAACTCTCTGGATCACCAGAATTAGTTAAACAAAATTGGTAAAATAATTACTTTTATTCTGAATTGTCATCTTATTCAGAGTTACCTTGAGAGGTTGCTGGTTTCAGATAATACTTAAGATTATTTGATAGGTGGGTATTCACTAACCAGTGGCCTGAAAAAGTGAACTAACTTCATTTTTTTCTCGTCATAACTGTTACTAAAATTTCATACTGGACATGATTACAATTCAATCAATTTTTTTAAATAAATAAAACCCTTTCTATTATACATTCACATAGTACAGCCTAATCATGGCCACTATATACCTCTCTCTCTCTCTCTCTCTCTCTCCCCTCCCCTTTGGATGAGCCGTGTTTTGATGCCTTGGTGATTCACAGCCACATAGCATTGCCAGAAGCATTTTGGTGTGAAAAGATGGTCTTTTATCAGAGGAAACAACAAGACTTTGTTTCCTTTGGTTTGCTAGACCTAAACCATATTTTCTGACATAACTTTTGCCATCTTTCTCTTTATTGATTTTCGCAGTGAGATCACTGAGTATCAAAGTATACGCTAACTTGGTTTGGGAGACCTCATCGAGCTCTTCACAGAAATCCTGTACCTGTTTATCTCCTTCAACAGATGGCACATAAGCTACAATAACCTTCATGTCAAGTCTTTTGTTTATTTATTTTCATCATGAACACTGTAAGACAATGCAACCAAGCATCTCAGGAAAGGTTTCTTACTGCCTTTGGTTACCAGCTCTCATTTTTCCTCTCCAAGGAGTCAGCCTTTCATTCTGCTGTAACTTAATAAGAACAGTTATCCTTCATATTGTGCCTCAAGGTTTGCAAAGCACTTGATGTATTTTATCTCATTTGATCCTCATAACAACCCTATGAGGTTACTATCCCCATTTTACATATAAGGATCCTAAGGCAGATAGTGGTTCAGTTACTTGCCTAGAGTCACACAGCTATTAAGTGGCTGAGGCTGAATTTGAACTTAGGTCTTCTTGGTTTCGGGCCCAGCACCCTGTGGCACTACTATGGCACCACCTAGCTGCATACCATTTGTCTTCTGCTTTCATTCATTATGAGAACAACAGTAATGAAATATGGTTCAGCTATTTCAACAGTATGTCACTAGATAAAGATTTCATATTTATAGTACTCATACTTATGTTGGTCAATATATGAACTAAAAGCACTTAATTCTCAGCATTTTCAGGCTTATTTTCTGCTACTATACCATCAATGTGGAAGTAGAAGTCAGGCCTCACAAGACATATTCATTTAAAATTTTTCCTTTGTTAAATAAAGTTAATACAAAGTTAAGAATGAGTTTTCCCAGGCCGCTTGCCCATTGAATGTAACCTTCCTCTATGACACAGCTAAGTATGGAAAGGGACAATGGAAATTCTGCAAACTGGCTATTTTCAATGCTGATTTAAAACTACTTACAAAGCTGATTTATTGGCAATTTTCCAGACCACCTCAAAATAATCTATTTGAGAAAATTTCACAAGAATGAGCATTCTACCACCTGACTGTTATTAACCTGTGCATACTTCAGGATTAAAGCCCTTTTATGTAGATAGTACAGCCAGGTTCAGAATTATAATTAAATCAATTATGTGAAAAATTAACTACAGAAAGCAACGATCCCCCAGAATATCTCACCTTATTTTAAAAGGTATTATAAAATTCTCAAAATTAAAGTAAGTTAAATTCACTTTAATTTAAATATATACATGCATATATACATGGAATGTATTACTTTCATGAGGTAGATAAGAACTGATAAATCAAATGTATTACAATAATATCAACCAAAAAATAGAGAACCACTAAACTACAGTTGTGCTGCCTAATCATCATGTAATCACTAATTCATATGATCCTTTAATCTAAATTAGTATACTTACTTTGCTTCAAGTTGGACTACTCTTTTCCTATGATATACTAGCGTTGTGGGCTCTGCTGTCAGAACTTTCAGCTTTCCATGAAGATAAAATGCACTTCTTTGGCCTTTCTTTATTGTCTCAATGAATGAATCATATTCTTGCTTGATTGAAGTAAGAATAGTTTTGTATGCGGTGACATGCTCTATTATCTGAAAATATTATTTTCCTGACTATGGTACTAAATTCATTCTAAGAGAACATAAAACAAAAGCCTTGCAAACAGCAATACATCACTTTGAAATGATATGAGATTATAATTAGAATTTTACAAATAAACATTTAGCAAACTTAAACTACAACTTAATTTTTTAAATTTATCACCATTTGCTAAGCACCTGGTATGCAGACCATTTGACTAAGTACTGTTGAGGGGGTGGGGATAAATGCAAACGAGATAACAGTCCTTATCTTTAATCTTATAATATGCTGGGGAAAACTGAATATACACCCTAATTATAGCCAGCTAAAGCTAATAGGCTAAGTTTTCTTAATTCTGGACCTTAAATCTCACTTAAAGTATATTGGTTTTTGTTTCCCCAAAGAATGGCATTATATAAAATAAAAGTACAAAAAGCAAAATCTAGGTGGGGTTTTTCTTTTTTGAAGCTGTTACAAGCAAACTCATTTAAAATATTTTAAACCTGAAAATATGCAGTGCCTAGGTTGCTGCACAAGAGGGAAAAATAAAGCCTGTTCGTGTATGCTTAGCATTTGGGGCTTTTAACAACAGCAACAACAAACTTTAAAAAGACTTTCAGTGCCATAGTTTCAGTCAGATGAACTATATGATCCCTAAAGTGTTTTCTTTTCTGCCTTAGCCAAAAAAACCCTCAATGCTAGAATCTGCTCACCTGAGATGTCTGAAAGCATCATTGTATCTTTCAGATAGATTCCTCATTCCTCAAATGAAATTTTGTTTTGTAATATATTTTAATCTGTAAGTTCAAAAGGAGTTGTCTTTTGACAGCAGGAAGGATATAACTCTTGAATGAATAAATGAAAAGTATGTATTTGTGAACTTAACTTTAAAAGGCAAAAAAGTGTCATGCCTGGTTATTTTACAAGTCTGTAAAAAAGGTCGTCTCTATGTGTGGTGGGCAGGTAAAAATTATTCCTACAAATTCAGAAACTTCTTTTTTAAAAAACTAACTTGATCTAATTATCACAGTCAACCACGTACAGTAATGATGTCCTGTCCAACTGTACAATACACGAGAAACAAGTCAGATGCCCTTGAGTAACAGTGACTGAAGACAACAGTGGTTTGTTTGTTTTTTTAATATGGGGTCTCCTTTAATCATGAATAATGGGATCCTTTAATGTTGTCCTGGATGCACAGAGTGTTCTTGATCAGTCAGTGTTAGTTTAAGTGAAAGCCATTCTATCTATATTCAATAAGATTCAAGTCAATTCAACAAGCATTTATTAAGTGCCTACCACTCCCTGGGGCAGCTAGATGGCACAGTGGAGAGAGTGTCAGGCCTGGAGTCAGGAAGACTTGAGTTTGAATCTGGTCTCAGACACTTACTAAATTGGGCAAGTCACTTAACAGTTTGCCTCAGTTTCCTCATCTATAAAATGAGCTAGAGAAGGAAATGGCCAACCACTCCAGTATGTTGGCCAAGAAAACCCCAAATGGGGTCACAAAGAGTCAGACATGACTGAAACGACTGAAACAACAAACAATAACTCCCTGTTCTTGATCTATCCATTATCACCACAAAATAATTATTCAATGAATTAAATCTTTTAATTCTCACATGATTGAGAGGCATCATGATGTAGTGGACAGAAAGCCGGCCTTGGAACCAAGATGATCTGGGTTCAAGTCTTGCAATGACATACACTGGGTGCATGACCCAGGAAAAGTCATCTAACTTCTCAGTTCCCAAAGCAACCCTCTAATTAGCACTACAGAGACTGTGCCGACCAGAACTGAGTTGGGGATGGGGAAGCCTTCATTTGGGACTCCCCTATATTAATGAGTTCACAAGTCCCTGTCCCTTTCTCTTACTATAGGATAGAAACTGAGCTGGATGCTAGGCATACAAAACAAAATAAGCAGACCCTGCCTTCAAAGAGTTTACATTCTACTAGAGGAAGCATCTCATCCACAGATGAGTAGGCACCAAGCAGCCTCAGAGGTTACCTTCACAGATGGAGGTGGGAGCTGGCATTTGACCTGTGCCTTGAAGGAAGCCTGGGGTTTCCAGAGGTGGAAGTAAGGAAGGAGAACATTTCAGGCAAAGAGATGGCCTAAGCAATGGCACATAACTGGCACAGAAGACAACCAGGATCAAGAACCCAGGGAACAATGTCAAATTTGTCCAATAAGCAATTGTGATCTAATGTCTGGTTCACCAAATCTATACCTATATGCCAGACCTCTAGTTCAGAACAGACCTCTCTCCATTGAATAAACTACAATCCTAAATTCCTGGATTAAAATGAGGCTAAAATGTCAGCAACAAAATTACAACAGGTCCCTGTTTTCAAGCTTGTTCCTGACAGATGATAGAGATTGATAATATAAAAATGCCACAACTGGTACTTCTGAGTAAAAAAAAAATCAGAAAGTAGCTGGCTTATATAACCAGGTTCTACTCTAAGAATCAAAATTGACTTATTCGAAGGAGAAATGATTGGGCTTAGGCTGAGTTAACAAGTAGACATTAATATTGTACTAACATTTATAATCTATATTGTACTCCATATCTATTCCTTCTGGATACAATATATTATTTCCTGGGGTAGAAATAAAATGTTTTACTAGAAAGAGGCATAACATTAGGAAGGTCAGAGAAGGAGAGTGTCATACTGTCATTCATAAATAAATTTTTTAAATTCTTAAAGTACTGTATTACCTTGTCAAATACATTTCGGTATATGATGAAATATTCATCAGCTGGTCCTTCATCAGTACAGCCCACTCTTTCCGTTTCTATAATTATATATCTTTGCATTCTTTCCAAAAATTCTTTATCATGATTACTAATGATAGGAGGAAGAACTGCATGTTTATTTATTGCAATTTCTTGAACAGACATTCCTTAACACTCTGTGCACTTGTTCCCCAGATAAAAGTTTAACTTTGATCTTGTTTGTGTAACAAAGCCAATACTTTGCTCAAACCCTGAAAGAAAAAAAAGTCATCAGAATAAAGCTGAATGAACAGAAACATAAATTAATGCCAATTTTCTAATCTTTTTCAGTTCATGTCAGGAAGTTAAAATACTCATTTGTAAAATAAAAGATTTTATGTGGATGTCTCTGAATCACAAAATCTTTAATTGCTGCACTTTTACATGTGATTTCATATGTTCTTTTTGGTAATAGTCTACCTCCAAAATCTTTCTCAAATCTGTTCCATCCTCTCTATTCCCACTGTCCCCATTCCAGAAGAGGCCCTCATTACTGAGGCATCTGGTACTGCTGCAATGCTGTCTAGCAGGTCTTGTCAAATCTACTTTCCACTCCCCCAAATCCGTCCCTCACACCTCTGCCAGGTTTTGCTTCTTTTGGTATCAGTGTTACACCTCTGTTCAAAAATTTTCATTGGCTATTTCCTACTAAGTCATGATGGTTGCCATATAAATATATGTATATGTATATATGCATGTGTGTATGTACATATAATTTATACAGTGCTATAACGGACAAATTTAGTTATCTCATTTGATCTTAACAACTTACTCTACGTAACAAAGTACTACATTATGGGACAGAAGTGACTGTGGGTTCTCAAAGGCTGTGCCAAAAACATACACTCGGGAGGGCCCTACCAAATTAGGGAGACCTGAAGTACAGGCCCAGTGATGAACTGCATGTCTGCTGTCTGAGGACCAGCCTAACAAAGTTGAGAGAGACTTATCACCAGCTTATTTGCAGAACGGTGAATTTGGGGCACTATCAACTAGTGAATAATGAATGAATGAAAAGTATTTTATTCACTACTTACTGAGTATTGGGGATACAAAAACAAAAGCAAGACAGTTCCTGCCCCCAAGGAATTTACATTCTAGTGAGGGGACAGTATATAAAAGAGTGGTACTCTGGTTTGAGAAATCACAGGAATTCTGTATGGAACCAGAGGGAATATAATGATGTACCCTTTCCAGAAGCAATGATAGCAGTAATTTGATTACTGTTCCCAGAGCAAAAGGCAAAAAGTGGGTGGCTCAGGTTGAGGTGTGGGAGAGAAGGTAGGAAGGGAGAAGAGCAGGTACAGGAGGGTGACAAGGTGACCAAGATAAAGAAGTACAAGGGCAGCAATGTGGCTGGTGAGGCTGTGGAAAGGGCCAAAGAGTAGGACTTTCCTAAATAGTGAGCCAGGAGAAACACTCACCAATCAGAAGAGTGGGGTAGAAGTTTCTCAAGGAGCTTATGAATAGGGGAACATACTGTGCACACATATAAGCAAAAACAATATATATAGAAAGGTAATTTGGGGGAAGCTGAGATTTCTTAACAATTGAAGGTATCAGAAAGGTCTCATGGTAGACAATATATTTTCCCGGTGGCTTGAAAATATAATCAAAAGGACTTTAATCTGAAAAGGGCAAGGGAGAAAAACTGCATATATGTGTATATGTACATACGTATATATATCTAGATATGTATATAAAGTTGGTTGTTGTCCTTCATTCTCGAAGAGGACCAAAATGATATCACTATGTTGGGATCAAGGTATAGTATGTCCAACTGCAGCTGATCAGACCAAGACAAGCTCAGAAGGCTCTATCACAGGTAAGACACAAAGAGTCCACATGAATTGTTGGAGTGGAGATGTCTCTAAATTTGAATGTCTCACATTTCTTTTGAGCTACCGTAATTCTGTTTTGCTCATAAAAGCACAGCACTTTCTTTGATGAGGGCATGCCATGCTGCCCTCTGCGCCAGTGTCTCCCATGCCATGCAATCAATCCCAAAGTTCCTCAGAGAGACCTTGAGAGTGTCCTTGTATTACTTTTTCTGATCTCCACCTGAGCACCTGCCTTGTGTGAGTTCTCTGTAAAATAGTCTCCTAGGTAAACATACATTTGGCATTTAACAACATGGCAAGCCCATTGGAGTTGTGCTCTCTGAAGGGGAGTTTGAATGCTTGGCAGTTTAGCTCAAGAAAGCAGTTTAGCTCAGTGTCTGGTACCTTATCTTGCCATGTAATCTTCAGAATTTTCCTAAGACACTTCAAATGCAAGCAATTCAGTTTCCTGGCATGTTGCAGGTATATAGTCCAGGTTTCACAGGCATACAACAATGAGGTGAACACAATGGCTCTGTGGATCTTCAATTCTGTAAGCAGTCTAATACCTCTTCTCTCACACTTTCCTTCAGAGCTAGCTCCGGCAATGCATGAGTCAACCTCATCAGCTATGTGGACATTCCTGGAAAGTATACTGCCAAGCATACCCACAGTGTTCAAAATTGTATCTGCTGTAACCAACGGTTCCATATGTGGATGGTGTAGTGCTGGCTGGTAAAGAACCTGTGTATTTTTGGTGTTAGGCCAAAATTAGCAAAAGCAGCAGAGAACTGATCCATACTTTGTTGTATCTCAGCCTCTGAGGATGCATTGAGCACACAATCATCTGTGAACAAAAAGTCATGCAGCAATTCTCCCTCCACTTTACTCTTGGCTTATAGCCTTTTAAAGTTAAATAATTTACCATCAATGCAGTAACTGACCTTGATGCTGTTTTCAATCTTGTTGACAGCATCTGACAAAATTGCTAAAAACATCATGCTAAAATGCATAGGAGGGGGAGGTAGGTGACGCAGAGGATAGAGCACTGGCCCCGAAGTCAGGAGGACCTGAGTTCAAATGCAGCCTCAGACCAAACACTTGACACTGACTAGCTGTGTCACCCTGGGCAAGTCACTTAACCCCAACTGCCTAAAAAATAAAAAAAATAAAATAAAATGCATGGGAGCCAGCATACAGCCTTGCTTTACTCCATTGGTGACTGGGAAAGTGTAAGAGCATTGATGCTATGTTGCATTTATGCTAGATAGCAAGATGCTAGCCACCTTCAGAGAAAGACATGACAAGTGAAATTATGCATAGTATGGTCTTACATATATGTATATTACTGTATATGTGTATATATGTGTATGTTTATAGATATCTTTGTATATGTATATATATCCAAGTTTAACTGTAGCCTTTTTTGGGGCGGGGGTGGGGTGGGGTGCGGGGGGGGGGGGGAA